ATCGTTTTTATCCATCGCTGTTAACAATTGAATATTGTAATAACATATTATTGATAACAATCTTATTTCGAGTTATGTCACGATTTGAAATATTACAGGCACGCGTAAAAATATGAGTAAGATGTATTATGGTCGTTATATTCGTTCAATTCATATTGGTAATCCCCGGAATGATGTTTTTGTTCTATTTCAACAAATCGTTTCATCTCCAACTACACCAATATAATTGTCATGGAAAGTTATTGACTTAGAGGTTGACTTCAAATATGATTTTTTTTTTTACGAAATCTACATGCATGATTTATTGAAGTTAAAACCCATGTAAAAGTATTTAATATTTAAGTATAAATACTCATGATATTTTATTTTATTCTAATTTTTTTACTAATTCTTAAATTTTTATTCATTGGAACATCAACCAAAAAATGATCCTAATATTTTGTGTTATATTAAAGTATGATAAATAATTAAAACAGTAATTTTACATTCTAAGTAAAATAAAAAAAATATTGCTATTATCATTTTATATGTTTTCTTTTGAGTCAATGTACAGAATTTTTACAGAATAATTGCTCCTATCATCACGATTATAAAATATCTTTGACAAGAAATTTTTCTAGTTCGAGGAATCATTTAACGGATTCCAACCAGTTTTTATTTAATAATTGAAAAAACTGACAAAAAGTTATAAATTTTTTAAAATTATATATCAACAGTTACAACCTTTCGACTTTCAACAAAATTGAATTTTCTTTTTCATCGTTACTCAAAAAATAATAATAACAGAAACTAGAAATTTTCACTACATGCTTACATCACTGTTTTCTGTATAATTTATACATATATTGCTATATAACATACAGTATACATGGTATAATTTTTAAAATATCTCACCTGACCTAGGAGTTTCGATATTTTTCTTTTTTTTTTTAATTTACCAATTGTATATTATATTTAATGAAGAAATTAAATTATTAATTATGGACTTACTTGCAAGATAAAAAAAAAAGCATTCAGGTTAAGTCTTAATAGTTACTTTGGCTGAAGAACAAATAAAGATTTATTATTATTCAAAAGTTATTGTTGTAAATTTTAAAATATATTAAAATAAAAATGCATCCGTTATTAAATGCTTTGGATGACTATTTAAATTTTTTCAACAGGCATGGGGGAAAGTGAGGGATTTACCCCCCCCCCCATGAGGATCTTTTACATACATTATTACTAAGAATATACGTAATCCTCATTCTACAAAAATTAAACTGACTTGAAAATGTATACAAAGTTGTATGTTTTTATTTTAACAGTACCTGCCATTTTTTTTTCCATTTGATGCCTATTAAATTTCACGCATTTCCCACATACTGTCGATTATAATTAAAAATGCAACCCCAAAACGGTAGAACGCATTTTTACTGACAAGTCAGCGGTTCAAGCTGTTCAGATATTTGTCGATTTTCCATACTGATCATTTTGGTCGTGGATATTTCAACGTGTATTTTTTTATTGACTTCTAACCTAAAATAATATACGATTATATAATTTAACTCCTCCTCCCTTGGACGGTTCCTGCGGACGGGTCTGGCTGTCAATTCTAAATGGATCCACAAATATATTGATAAATATCAAATTAATACAGATTGTTTAATTTTGATATTTTAAGCAATATTATGTCAACCAACAAAATAACATATTCTAAAACTTTATCGTGAAGCATTCATACTACGGAGTAATAACTTTAATTGTTATGCATCATAAATTATTAACACGGCGACTTAAATAGGCAATTTCGCTACATACGTGTCAATAACAATGTGAAGAAGTACATAACAATATTACATTGGTATTTCATTTTGAATGTATTATAATAATGAATGATACAATACTTGTTGGTGCTATTAATACAATTTACTAACCGTAAATACAATGTAAGCAAAGCATATACTACATCGCATAAATACATTTCTGTAGCAGATCAATATAGATACAATAGAATGATAAAAATGTATATGTATTAACATTCTAAATTATTTACCCAGTGGCTGATTGTAATCTAAAAGTAAAGTGACATGATTTCCATATATAAAAAGAAATATATAAATAATGAAATAACTGTAAAAAAAAAATATTAAAACACATGCAGAATAAAAAACTAAATAATGTAGATTACAAATTGCGATACAAAATTGCTTATAACTGCTTATGTTTTCATGTTATTTTTCAGAAAACTGCATTAATATAATGAGATATTCAATATCAATTCTAATAAAAAATTATTTAAGTCAGTTTTATATTAAAGCTAAATAAATACATTTTATGTATGGCATATTTAGACCCTTGATAGTTTATTTTTGTGAGACTTAAAATGATTTTCTTAGTAATTATTTTGGTTAATATGTACATGTTTTTTTTTAAAAAAATTAATTAAAATAACATTTGGTATCATACTTCAAACAGTTGATGCTACTATAAATGTTTCATCGCAATATTTTAAAAGAAGGAAGATAATAATAGTTATGTTTATAATATAATTGAAGCTATTTAGTGATATTATGAGACTAAAAGATCATAGTTCATTTTTTACGTATCCCATTATTTATATTCGAAAAAATTAATTTTTAATTGTATTTACAATTTATTTTTACAGTAAATTTATGTGGTTTAATTAAAAGAACTAAATGATATAAATCATACAGTTTATAATATTTTCACTGTGATTTTATCTTAAATACGGTTGTAGCCTTTCAACGGCAGAAATTTTCATTATACTAATTTTATGATATTTTATATCAATTTAATTGAAATAATAAACTAAAACCGTAAATTCAAAACAAATTATTCCCGATGACCTGATATAATATGATATATAATATTCATGGAAGAGCTATGGATTAGCCAACCAAAATATTTCCTTTTTTTTGATGATTTCCAAACTCATCAATATTCTTGAAACATGATTTATTTTTGAAGGTAAAATGTTGACCTTGCATAAAATAATACCCATGTTTTACTATGCTTAGAATTTTCTAATTTTAATTCTGAAAAAATCATCTAATACTTGTCGAAACTTTTTTTATGGTTAAAATTCCCATCTAGTCCCACTTAACACACAAACAAGCGAGCGCACACTCCTGTACATACATGCACAAAAACTACACACATTAAAAACAAGCGAAACATCTAGATTAGGTAAGAATTCACGGTCGGGAACGATACAAATTAATGATATTGTGGTATTGATCTTTTAAACTTATTATAGTTTAAAAAACAATTTTGAAATTTCGTAAAATTACACGCGAAGTACCAGTATAGATAAAATTTCTTAACAGAAACCACCCAATTCATCTGGTCCAAATGGTATACACAGTCACATACAAAAGAAAACGCATCTTGATAAAACCAGTATATTTCTCGTTTCATCCAAAATCTAATGGTAAGTATTTATGTGTACAATTGAGTAATGTGTAATGTGTACAATTGAGTATGATACTATTAATATGTATGTAAATAACATATATCGCAACGCTTACGTATTTTGTTTATTATTGGATTACACTTAATATTGACGACATTATACGTACTTATATCGAACAAACCATGTATATACAACATAAGGTATTGAGTGACCTTACCGATAAAATAAATATTGCCGTTACGATACATTCCGTTTCTAAAATACTTGTATCTAACAACGAGCTTAAGGATGCATGACATTCTTAACTATTATGAAAGTCACCTACTAATACTGTTTATCCAAAAAACTTTTTTCGGGTATATTAGAACAAATTTGTACCATTGTTTTCGTTTATTTTACCATCTGCAAATGCACATATTTACAAGCCGTTTTGCACATTCCTGTTGCATGAGTATGACATGTCAAGCAACCGAAAACAAAGCACCATATCTTATTCTATACTATACATTAACAATACTGTACATCCGTTTCATTCGGATCATTGTAGATGATCATGTTCAGGAGAGTAACTGCTGGACTGCGTTTGTGTTATATTAGGTTTTCCCAACAGCTGATAGGCGTTCATGAAATTATTTGTGCTCGTTCTATCAACCACTGTCAAACGTCGTGTAAACAATTGTTAGTGCACTTACCAAATAATAACTTGCCTCAAACAATGTTTGGTTCAAAATAATATACACATGTGTCTAATTTTCCTAACGATATGCTCAGTAAAATATTTTAACCGTTTTGTCATGCATATTACTTCGTCGCACGAGTTTTTGAAAAAAATTGAAAACACGTATATCTACACTTGAATGAGATTTTACAAAATTTCATACTTATAGCTTTTTTTTAATGTTTTTTTCTATACAATAATCTCTTAAATTTTACTATTATTATTATTGACTGTTATTTCTTCCTTTAAGTTTAACTCTTGATAAAATATAACTATTTTTAATATTTTTTTATTCCTCTTAAATAATGTTATTAGTATGTGTCACTCAACCATATACTTTAACTATGTTTATTTTCATTATGTATAATGATTCGTATCACTAAAATACATAAATGTAAGTTTCAGAAACATTTTAAAATCGAATGTCAGTCCGAACAATGTAATCCTGGTTATGATTAATGTTGTGACGAAAAATGATACCAAACACGTAAAATGTTGAAGTTACGAAGAAATAAACTTCCTGAATACATACTCACCTTAATAACCCTGTTGCCCGGGAAGTTGACCTAAATCATCACTTTGCTAATTGAATATAGACGTGTCGTATTTTTAAATAAAAATACGCTTGATTGAACTGTTAAGAGGAATTATTAAATTAGTGAAATAAGTTATAATACCATTTAGATAAATATCAACGTACAATATAAGTAATACATAATACATTTTACTAAAATGTTTGGTTGTAATTTTCAGCTTATTGCTACATTTTAATATGTTGTATCAAATAATCAAATATTAGATGAATCTGGATTATAACATACAATAAATAATAACCGATGGTATTGTGCAAAATAAGTAAAATATAAATCAATAAATGATGATTAATAATATATTATTTCATATTGATACCAATCGTACAGTATTTTGCACATTATATTATATATGCAGTTATATTTTTGAATCGCTTAATGCTACTAAACATAACTTTCATTACAATTTACTTTACTCTTTTTTTAATTTTATAATACCTATGGTTATTAATAGTTTTTCATTGCTCTATCTTTCTCATCATCTGCGTTTGCTGCTACTGGATTCATTTTCTTTTTTAATTTCTTTATTTTATCCAAATAACTAGAAGCTGTAAAATAAAAATTACCAATTATAAAATAATAAAATAAAGGATAAGTAATTGGGATCAGTTCAGTAATGCATGTACAGGTATGTGGTAAGAAAATGTAGTAGATAAAATATCACTCTTTGAATCGCAAAATAAACTTTTTCGATTTTTTTATTTTATTAAAAACTATTTAAAATTTGTTTTTATTATATTATTTATTAAAAACCATGAGAATCTCAAACCAGATTTCAAATTTTAAAAGTTTGGTAGAATGAGGTTTAGTGAAAGTATCGGTTTAAGGTTCCTTACCAAATTTTACGCATACGCCATGAAAAGTGAACCTAATTATAGATATTAGAAAAATAAAGTTAATTGTGAATAGAAAAAATTTTACATAATAATTTTATTATAATTTGAACAAACATCTGTTTGTTTTTTAAATAAATTTTATTGTTGTTATTAAATTTTCATTTAGACACAATATTGTGTCTATATAGTAGAATTTTATTATTTTTCGCTATGGATGGGTTGTATAAAATTTTTCAACTAGAAATTATTTTGGCATTATGTTTTTAAGAAGAGCTCATCTAAAATTTTTGGGAGCTAAATATTGAATGCTTGGAGTAAACGCTTAAAATCACAAATAACATCACCAATCGATACGTAAAGTATAACATTTACCACTTTTGAGCGAATTTAATAAATCTATTTAAATATTCAATGTTTATAACTGAATTAAATAGTTTATTACTTTTAATAATTTAATTACACCTTTTTACTTCGCTAAACTTATTACAAGACGAAAAAGATAACTTCAAAGCGTAGTTATGTTGTTGTGTGCATGGTTTTATTTTTGTAAAGTTTTCGATGAAAAATTGTGAAACATTTTGTTTTTAAACCCGTTTATTTTAGAAAGTAATATACAAATACGTATGTTGAATCGATAAAAATATTTTTTACACATCAGCGTAGAATCAAATTGGAAGATTTAAACAAGTAACCATAAAGGTACTGAAAATTCCATGAAATAATAAAAATGAATTGGTTAAATATATAAAATAAATATATAAATATATTCAAATATTTATTTAAAATAATTTTCACCTATTCGTTTAAATAAGTATTCCAAGTTTTGAATAAATGTTTAGAATACATGAGCACATTTTGAAATGCAGAATGATTGTATTTTATATTCCAGATAGAACGTGAAAGTATTTGGTATTACAATGATTTTTTTTTTCGCAATAAAGTTTAGTATAGAATACTACTCAGTCGAATGAAAATTAAATGCAAATCGTTCAGTAGACCGTTTTTTTTTTTTTTAATTTCCATAATTATTGTGAAAAATTTCATTTGTAAGGAAATATATCACAAAACCATCACGAAGAATTTCTATAAAATCCAAAGACCATTTAAAAATGTATTGATTAACCAATATAATTATCTAGCTTTACTTACAATTGAAATCAATGACACAACATGGTCCAACAACGAAATAAATGTAACAAGACGACCGTTAAATATTTTAATCTTAGCTTTCTATTTCTTTTCCATTTTTTTCATACTTAATAGAGGTATTTTTATTTTTATTTTTCTGATATTACATCTTTATATTTCATTATATGGATAAGATAAGTTATACATTTTTCGTCTAACAAATTGAGCAAACGTATTTGGTGTAATAATCGGGAAGTTAAAAAGCATTTGATTTTTCTTCTCGATTTTGAGAGAGGAACAGTGTGATGACAAATGGTAACGATATATGCACGAATTTCACATTCATAATGTGGATTTAGCGTTGCGATTTTATACCCATAGTCACAGTTAACAAATTTGTTAATGTTTTTGTTTGTTATTTAGAAAACGTGACTTAATATCAACAGCGATTTACATTTATATGAGGGTTGCATTTGATAACAAAGCGCACGTGTGGACTTGATGACGACGACTACGACGATGATGATAATGATGATGATGATGATGAGCATCAAACTATATTATATAATACTTGCACATGTATCATACATGTACGTGAATGTAACAGTGAAATTATTTTAAAACAAAACCCAACCGATGCAGAAATCTGTCTAAACCAGATTTATCTAAGTCTCCTTTAATACCATAATATACTAAATAGCTATACTGAATTTACAGTACAATATTAAGTATCATTCGTTTGATTTCGCTAGAAAAACATAGAATGGACAAATGAACGATTTTTTTTTTTTTGCGTATAGGGAAATTCAGTTTATGCATTTTTGACCATTATACAATTCAGCTGTTGAAATTTAAACCAGCTGAAACATCAATAACCAAAAAAAAATTAATACTTTGCAACGAATAAACAACAGAATATTATTGAAAATATCACCTTAGAAATACAATTATAATTTTTCGTTTAAACCTAATTAAATACAATCAATTAATCACCGAATAAGACCCAAAACGATATTTCGACCACAACTCAATCAAAATTTTAATAATGTACGAGTATATAGATTAATATAATATCTATTTCAAATAATTTAATTTCGTTAATGTGAGTATATTGACCCATTCAGTCTTTACTTTTCAAAATACATTAATGTTCGAAAATACTGTCCGAAGGTTATTGTTTTTTTTATTAGACAAACATTTTATTTCAATATACGTTATTAATATTAACAAAAAAATTATTTTTTTCCCCACAACTCAATTACGGAAAATTTAAGTTTTCATCTGGAAAGGGAGACGATGAAAAAATACATCTAAAAAAGTCATATAACCCTAACATCCTCAGTCGCTCATTAATTATCTTATTCTCATGCCATTGACAAATGTTATTTGTTTGTTATTTAACTTTTCATTCCTAACATTATATGTACCATAATTACCAAAGAATCTAGTCACGTAACTAAATAAATAAACAGTAACAGTACGAATCTAGAAAATCATGAATTTATTCTGGCCATAAAACAAAATTGTGATCGCAATTTCATTTATTTTTACTACAATAAGTTTTTTTATTCAGCTCTAAAAATGCGTTCAATCTATCTCCTATCCCTAGAAGTATGCCACATGGATAGATATGATACGATTCTATTACAATTATTAGTTTTTATTTTCTTTCTACCTGAATCAACTGTTGGTTATGTCATTTTTATCATTCTGTACGTTGGAGTTGATTTTTTTTTTCAAAACTACCCGAATGTATATTTTGCTTTATCGTGCAAAACAGACGTATATAATACATATTTTAGTAAATTTAATGTAGGGTTCATTTATTGTAATGTTCGTAACCCCTCTATGTAAAGTATACATTTTAATCAAATATTCAAATGTTACTCGGTCAATTAGTATAGCAAATCATACATATACATGATATACGTCCAATCAAGTGTACTGTATGATTTTGCTAATGGATCAATATTGTAATATATTTATATTATATCGACTATCTAAATCATTATTCTTGTGTTGCTAACAGTAACCAAGAATTATGTAAATATATCCTCCTTTTTCTTGTCTATTTTAATTTCAACGTTTTTTTTTTCGTCTTGTTCTTGACATATTCTATTTGTTTTTTTTTTAAATATTACCATACAAATATACTATCATCCAAATATTAAACAATATCACAATATTATTAAGTGAATTTATCAGATGTATGACATTAAATAATATTCGTACCTTATAAACCTAAAATATGTGCAATATGAATAAATATATTGTATTTAATTGCTATATAAATATACCATTTGTCAAATACTCCGATTTTTAATTCAACATCAAATTTTTGTTGATGGTAATAACTATAATAAACATAAAATCTTTTTAACTAAACTTAAAATAATTATGATCACTTATGTGTTGTAAATATAAATACAATTAAAATAATTAATTGCAAATTGTTATTTATATATTTAACTGTATTTTCTCTGAAATGTTATGACTTTTAAGTTTGTATTACATGGAATTATTGAATATTAATCAAATAACTTGAAACCCAACTAATCTTGTATCGTAAACTCGAATCTCATTAGCGTATAACCAAGTGTTTATAGTTTTTTATATTAAGTTTAATGTGTTTAACCATAAACTGGGATTCGTTTACGATATAGACCAAGACTGGAATTAATCTTCTTCACGAAAAGTAAAAATTAACCGATAATTATTTTTTAAGATAATCCATACGTTACCATAACAACCATAATACCTTATAACCTCATGAAACAGCAGTACTCGACATCCACAACAATAAAGGAATCATAAAAACATTCCAACGAATATAATATGAAGTACTAACTAAAAATCTAATAAATTAATGTAATTCATTCGTTAATTATTTGGCCACCAAGGAAAATAAAGAGTAAAAATACTAAGGTTGGCAACTATTAGAAATATTGTGAATTTAAATGTAAGCCCAAATCAATCACTTTCAAAAGATTTTTACTATTCAAATATGTCGTATGGTAAGCAGTAAGCCCAATTGATATAAAATTAATTGAAATTGTTTAAGAGGTTTCGGAGAATAGACTAGCATCTATAGATAACGGTGGTATAGAGATATTGATAAACGAAGTGCTTTTATGTAATTTGTGAATTCATTCAGATCATTTGATCTGTAATTGTTTTTAAAATAGGTTTTCATACGAAAAAATGCATTGCTGAAAGGGCTTATAATAAAAACAGCCATCTAATGACAATATTTCATATAACGATTAAATTCGTTTAATTAGGATACATTTAATTTTACTTTATTAATTGTAAATATTTATTTATTTAATTAAATTTAAAACACCACTCTCTCCTAGTCTCTTAGTATTCTAAGAGAATTTCCCTAGATGGTCGCTTGCAAATGCAGATGAATTGAGTCCCGTTTACAATGCCTTTTATATCACATCCACTTATTGAAATCAATATTTTCACGTTGTAAAAATGACAATTTACTACGTTACGCTTGCTTGAACAATAATTACATGATATTTTTGTGAACTCGATGAATTCGGATTTATCCTCGTATAGTGAAATAATATTTAAATATTTATACCATATAAGCTTATTCGTCGTACTAATTATAAATACTGAACACTTTCATTCGATTACCAATACAACATTTTAAAAGTCTAGAAACGTACCTTGTGAAGTATAATTATGCAAGAAACGTTTGATCATAAACGATCGGAACTCGGAGTTGTTGAGAGAGTCGACGATAATGTATTGTACAACTTCGAGCAAATCACCCAATTCATCTAGCTTTCCCGTTTTTCTTAAGCTATTTTTTATTTCGTCTTGTTGGATTCCCATGTTCGGAACACCCATGTCCTTATTATCGACAGTCCACATATTTAATTCCTTATTCGACACGGATTTGCTGCCACATACGTCCTATGTACAAAAGCATGCAGTTTGCACCGTTAAATACGTAAAAAAAAATGACATTACTTTTACCATCGCTACACTCAACGTGATGGCTATGCATGACATTAACGCCGCGGCCTTCATCATCAAGCATCAGGCGGTGAACTCGTTACGCGTGAAATATGAAATGCCAAAATGCGATGACGGTCTGAAACGCTAAGTCGAATACGTTTGGAAAACAATCGTCGCAACGTTTACCCGTCGACGACGAGTACGCCGCCAACGGGTACTGTTCGACGTAATTGCGACCATATGTTCACAGGACGACGATGCGTTATAATACGTGGAAAAACTGCGAGCAATTACGTTCGTCAGGCAATTTGAATAGAAAACGAAAAAAGAAAAAAACGTACGGGTGCAGAGGTGTTTGAACACCACGATTACATTTTTTCCAACGTGTTCGAATGCGGCGAAATCGTTATTTCCCTCGGGACACCGCGGGCTGGGGCGGTGGCGATACGCCCTTCGACTGAACGCGTTGCGGTGCACAGGGTTAACAAGCACTTGACCGATTGTTTTCCTGACGATTCGCCATGTATTGTTTGCCGTGAACCGATTGAACGAAATCGCGCAACGCCCAGATGCGCGGATCGACGGCTTTGAAAGCGCCACTTGCCGCGCGCGCAATTAACCATCATTAACGGGTGATAGGGCGGGTAGAGAGAGAAAAAATTAAGCGAAAAAATTTACTATCGTCGCAATTTGTTTCATGACGCCCATTTTGTCCACCGAACAATCGTTAAGACCCGAACGCGTTTCGCGAGAATTCCGCGCCGTTCATTCCGAAAAGCACACGCACCGGTTCCCTTTTCTCTCAACCCCCCGAGTTCATTTGGCAGTGCTGCGCACAACACGGTGTTTATACACTATCTAGGCCTGCGAGCGAACGCCGCCGACATGAACGTTGACCACGGTACACGAGGACTCGTCGTCCTGTTAGTCCTCGCGTGTGCAGTGGTACACACGGTGAGTATCCGACGAACGGCGTTTTTTGTTTTTTTTTAATAATTTTCCTACCCCCGAGGGAGGATAGACAAGTCTTCCGTCACGTCGCAGAATTCGAGCGCGGTGTTCCTCGTAATGTTTCCCGTTTTAATAATTATTTTTTTGCGGCGGGCGCAAAAGTCGTCTTTCCAGTAACCGCCGGACGTGTTTGCAAGGTCAATATTTTTCATCTTGTCTTTACTACCGCGACAATCAAGTTTATTGTGATTAAACGTACGTTCGTCGTTTATCAATCATATTATTATTGTATTGCGAAATTATATTTTTTCCATGTGTGGCGGATGGAAAAATCGTCCGTTCCCGAGGCCCACTGGACAGAAAAAAAGTTCACTGAAATTGCATTATTCGCCTTGTACAATTATACAATTATACTCAATCGATTTGGACGCGTTATAACAATCATACAACTGACGTATTATCTCGGTTGGTTCAGTACACTTTTTCCATGCCGTAAGTCAAATAACAGTATCGCGCATTCGCGTTTGTCCACAACGACTTTTCCGCACCAATTCGGCCCTTAATCTTTTTTTGTCATTATCTGCGCAACGTTTTGATACACAACTATTGAAATAAGCATCAACAAAATTAAGCCCTAAAGAGGGATTTGTGTTCAATTATGACGTTCGGTGATATTTCATTACATTTAAAAGTCATATCTCATTAATATGTTTACATTTTAAGACGTATAAATAGCATGTTTGACGAAAACGATTCACAGATGAGATTGTAATTATTTATAGTTTTTTCAGCTTGATCTCGACCCACTCATGCGAAATACCGTGTTATAATATTAGTATTATCATTAATGGCGTTCTCCATAATATGAAGTCGATAATCATTACTTATGACGAAACATTATTTTCACTTGCTGTTCGCAGTAGATCAAAATGTTGACAAATCTTTAGCAAGTATACTTAGAGTACCTAACATACATAGCTGAATAACGTACAATTTTTTGATTCATAGCAAGAATATTAGCTCTTGAATAATTATTCATTGTAAATAAAAAAATAATTGTCTGAAGCATGATTTCGATTTGAATCATATTATAAACCAAATAATCGTATATTAAATGATCTCAATAAATTACGTTCGCTTTAAATTTCTCTCAACGATTATATCCCCTACTAATATAACTTTCTCAATCACATTATGACAACAAATTATTATTTAATTATAATTTAAAGTTATTGTAATTTTCTGTTTGATGTATTATGTCTAATTTTGTACAATTGCCATAGTTAATTAGTTTAGCTTTTTTTATATAATTCAATAATTGTTGAGCTATAATAGTTCTTACTAAAAGCTCTTATATAGAAAAAAAAAGAAAAAATAGATAATCCTCTATAGTCTTCGAGAAATCATTACTATCTTTTCGTTACAGCTCTAGAAAGTTGTTCGCGATCGTGTTCACTGGAAAATCAACATTAGACATTAGAAGAATATTCCCCCTGGCTCAATTAAAAAAATCACATGTAATTATGTTTCAATGCAATTCTTGGAAATAGTTACAAATCATACGCCACAAATACAATAATAATTAATACAGTAGAGAATATTATCCTAGCATAGCGATGTACTGGTAACAGTCTGTTATAGAACTGTGTACGTTAGCTTACATTTCTGCATCTGATTAATGGACGATATATTTTTTTCTATTTTATACAATAATGTCTTGTATATAAAACGAAAAATGTTCTATAGATAATTTTTCGTTATGCCGAGTTACTATGGCTAATGCAATAGGTTTTAACGAAAATCGCATCAAAAACTTAATAAACTATAGCTAACTTGTTATAGTAATCCATATAGTTAATTCTAGATGAAATTAATCGTTTATAATTATTTCAGAGCTGTGAAAACGTTGCATTTGATGTACCCAATAGTACTGGATACAAAGCGAATAGTGCCATCAATGCTAGAAATGGCCAGCAATCCGATAGTGAGCTTGAAAAAATGTTACTAAACGTCGCCTCTATAATACAAAAATGTATAGATAATAGAACTATGAATAATAAAAAATTCAAAAAGAATCTTGACAAGTTATACGACAGGATGGTAAAACCCAATAGTAAGTTTAATCAGCATAATAACTAGCATTTCATTTTATTTTTTTTTAATTAACAGTTATTAATATTATTCAATTTCTTTTGTTTCAGTAAAAAGAGTGATAAAAGAAAATATGTTGAGATATAATAATATAAAAGATCTTTATGAAGAAAAACAACTAATGTTGATAATAATGAATGGTGATAAGACAGACAAAAAAATTCAATAAAATTATATAAGAAGTATGAACAGCATATAAAATAAAAATTATTATAATTTTTATTTTCTTTGTTATATAATTTAAGCGTAGAACGATAAAAAAATGATTCATTTATTTGTAATGGATCATAAAATCGTTCCATTACGATATATTATACTCATTTTATTGCACAACATTATTATATCATTGGAAAACTGTCATAAACACTAAAATATATAAACAGTAAAATTACTGTGAACTATTTAAATGTTATGATCAGTTTAAAATATTATTTAATATATTACACACTATTAATATTATGATGAATTGTAATATTATAGATAATAAAAAATTATACATTGATAACTTCAAGTTGATATTTTTTTGTTGTTTAATTCACGAAAATCATCTTAATTTTTAAGTGTTCTGTTATTTGAGTAAGTTTGTGGGTAATAATTCTTTGTGAAATCTAATTTTTATAAAGATCTAATACAAAATACACTCCTCGCTTCACTCAAAGTCTAAAATACAATTATTTAATGCATTCACTGAAATAATTATTCCGTTTAAAATGGTATTTCTAGAAATAATTGAATACAATTAGCTCTGAAGACAGTTTTCGTACGGTTAACATTAAATTTGTATAAACATTGTATCAACATCTCAAGATTTAACGAGACCTCCACCAACCGTCTCAGAATAGGACACACCATCCTCACTCGCTCTCATCTAATGCAAAAAGAAGACCTCCCCTATTTGTACGTGTTGTGGAATCTTCCTCGCGGTTAAACACATTCTAACTGAATGCAACATTTATGATAAAGAAAGAGAAAAATTATTCCAAATATCAGATCACGTAGTGAAAATACTCAACCCCGAATTCAACATAATTTCCAAACTCATTCAGTTCCTAACAGAAACTAAACTTATGTATAAAGTGTAAACCTTTTTAACACACAATACGTTAATTCATTTATACCTACTTTTTCTTCTCTTCTTACTATCTGTACCATATTAAAATCTTATTCTATGTAATCATACTAATACCTACGTATATATAAATATATCTAAAAATGTAATGCGTTCAATGGCCACAGATTCCGTGGATAATTTATATAATAAAAATAAAAAAAAGAAGTGTATTAATGAGTTTTGAACATAATACTTGAGATGGTGAATGAAACACAATGTACAAAACATCATGACACGAAATTCATTAGAGTTCAATTATCCGGGTGTTGGCTTATATTTGAACTGTACGTGTTACGTCTGTTAAACATCCGCTAGTCATTGAATATTGAATTTTTAATGAGTTTCTCTGGAGGCAAAATGGATCGAGTTAACTAATTTGAATTCAAAGCCTTGGCTTGATTTCGGAAAATCAGTTCGAGCTCGAAATACTTTAGAAACACCGAGATCGTACGTGTGACCAAGAGAAACGCTGGTACTTATTGTACGCAAATAAGAGAGTAAATAAATTAGTCGCGGTAGAACTATCAAAGTGAAGCATCTAATATATTAATTATCTGAAATAAGGTTACGTGTTCGGATCCTGCACTAAGAGCACGATCGTGACGCATTGTCACCAAAACTTGAAAACAATATGCTGCCGAGTGGCGGCAAAGTATGCGTATAGCGTTTTAATAGTTTGGTGAAAACTGTCCTGAGCGGACACACATGGTTTGCGCACATTTACTAAAATTAATAACTATATTAATTATTATATTTAGTAAAATTACAGATTTTTTAATGCAAACAGTTATTTGGGCATACTTTTATTTTCCCACTTATATAGACTTAGAACTTTCAGTGAATATTTCAACTTGATGTGATTAAAAATCTGGTTTTGGTATACTATATGTTAAATATATATATAATTAATTATAGTAATTTAATTTTGTCATTTTTTTTATATTTATTTTAAATTATTTCAATTGCTTACCTTGAAAGGGGTTACACATTTGTTCTAAGTAATTCAATTATTTGTAACATTTCTTTCCGACGATAGTTATTATATAGATAATTATTAACATTCATTTTTATTGAATTTAATTTAAGTTTTTGATTGAATGTTTAAAATAACATCAATAATTTGGTACTCATATGAATAAGGATTGTAGAATTAATTATTAAAATGACTATGAAAAGCTTCAACTGCATTTGTTGTTCTTGATTTATCATCTGATTTTAATGTCCACAGCGATATGTTTAAGTTTGAATTAGATAATATAAATGATACAAAAAAATAATCAAAGAAGTATAATCCATCAAATGGAGCAATAGCTATTAAATTTGAAAATGCTATTTCTATTTCTTCTGGTAGTAAATACGGCTAACTAAAAATAAAATATTTAAAGCATTTACCTGCCTTTGAATTATTATTTTTATACTTCCGTAATAATTTACTACTACTTTTTAGTCGGTGAAATTAAGATTGAGCTAAATAAAATGTACAACACACAATTTTACACTGTGGAAAACATTGGAAATTGAGTTATGTCCTACTTTTTCAAAATCAACATGAAATTATTTAATAATAAGTTGCCAATTAAAAATGTGAGTACAAAGATTTTGAAGTGTTTCCCACTTTATTGTGTACATTGACGTATGTTGATCTTCTAAAAAACAAAGTACTACTGGTAGGTAAAAATTATTTTGATAAATATGAATGGTATACAGTCAAGTATATAATTTTGGGCAATATGAAAATACCATCTCCAAATACATGTTTATCGTCACATAAAACACTTATATTTGCAGAGCGTGTAAACAATACTACACTAATATAGTCATAATTCAATTCCCGTATTTTAATTGTCTATACATTGAAAATTTTAAATTCTTAGTAGAAACACACCTGACTCCAATAACTTTCTCATATTGTCCGACTTGCATACTTGCTATCTCCTCTAATTTTTTCAGTTCTTGCCTCTCTCCCTTAGTGTACATTATCAAAACTTAGCGTTCCGTCTGAGCTTAGAGAGTGAAATTGTTAAGTTCTTTTGAACTCCCAATCACGTCGTTATCACCGGAAATGAGCATGCTGACCATTTGGATTTTTCGACGAAATTCTCGAAACAAATTCCCAGCTTTAAATTACCTGCCTTCGATCTCTTTTCCATTCACCGTAAACTTCTACATAACGCTTGGCAATCCAAATGGTCCTCTTTACCACCCAATTTCGCCTCATCACACAAGCACACTGTCCTCGTAATCCTTCGACTTCCATGGTTCAAAAGTCTTAACATTCCAAGGCACCTAATTGTCGCATTCACCCACCTTCGCATTGGACACAGCTTACTATCTCACAATTCCTTCAAGCTTTCCCTTAATTCTTCTCCACTATGTAATTGACACTACAAAGTCACAATTTGCAACTTCAACCACTTAATTTTCAATTGTCCTTCCCTTCTACTTAATAGTCAACTCCTTTTTCTATTCCTATATTTCCTAGGATACATCACTCCCAACTCAAATCTCCGTTTGAGGTCCATAAAAAAATTTTCATTACTTGCGCTTCTTTCTGTTAAATTCCCACATTTAAAAATTGTTGACATTACAGCAGATCAACAATGTAATAATTTACAAAAATTATTAAGTTTTTTCGATCATACTACATATTATTATGATCATCAGAATCTCCTTTTGTTTTAGCTTCAAGTAAACATGTTTAATATATCACATTAATCTCTTCATGCAATTCAATGGTTTCATATTTGTTTTCAGTAATCAATAAAGTATCTTCTAATTTTATTTGTTCATCGTTATATTTTAAATTAATCGCTTCATCGTTAACAATGCTGTGGGAAGCTATCCTCTGTTTTAAATATTATCTTGCCATTTCACAATCCGTAAATTTATTATTTTGATTAAATCCACTAGTTTCACTTGAAGATATTACAAAAATATGTATTAGTATTTTTTTGATACCTTCAAAATTAGTGGACGAAATTATTAAGCCAATTGATCTTAAATATACATTTTTTATTCACGTTGCTGTTTATTTTCCATACCAAGAACTTATTACCTTCATAACATGATTAAAATCATTGCGAATCATGCACGTGGGTATATCATTAGATTTGTTACTAATAATGAACATGCTTCTAACTATTTATTGAGTGTTGAAAATTAAGTAAAAATCTTAACGATTCATCACAGAAGCCAATGATTGATCAGTAACTATTATTTTTGAAGTAGGTACTCCGTTTTTTTTCACTCTCCCAGCCAATATATATATATTATTATACCAATACGAATATACTATTATTATCGTGTCGTTCTGATAGCATACGAGCAATTGCAAATAGACAGTTGTCTGTAGGGTCATTTACTCCTATTTCCAGTGGCGCCGAACCCATACATAAGGTGTAGCAATGGCCACATCTTATTTTAGGGGGTGGGTGGTCAGGAACTTTAAAATTAAAAGTTTAAGCATGTGGTAAAAAAAAGAAGCCTTGTTGCTGATAAGATACAGTTGCCTGCTGAAAAGATAAAAAATATAAAATTATAATTAATTATACAAGGAATTAAAACAAACGCTCATGCTCATTTTTCAATGCGATTGTGTGTATTTTTCATTTTAATATATTTATTGTATAATATGTTGTGAACAGTGTTGAGAATTATCTAGATAATATTATTTATTTAATTATCTTATCCATATAAAAAAATGAGTGGTTATATATTATCTTATCTAGATGAATTTAATGGTTATCTGTGTCAATTTATCTAAATAAAATATTATACTTAAATTAATAATTTTTAAAAATTTTAAATAGGTCCTAATATACCGAGTGCCGACGTAATAAATATTGCATTATTAATAATGAAAGAAAATTGTATTAATAAATTTGTAATTTGAGATTTTAATTTAATTTTTTTTGTTTTTATATTCCAAATATTAAAATGATAATATTATATAACTAAAATTAGTTTGTTTTTATGTAACGCGTATAACTGTCGTGCAGTGCGATAAGCCGATAACCGGATAACTTCATGCATGCCGCACAACAGAAATAAGTAAAAACCATATTTTTTTTTTTTTTTAA